AGTCTCTCAGCCCACTCACCTCACAGAGTATTTGTGGTGGGGAGGAAGGGAAAGGAGAATGTTAGCCGCTTTGAAACTCCTTAGGGTAGTGATAAAGCGGGATATCAAATCCAAACTCCTCCTCCTCCTCCTCCTCCTTCTCTTCTTCTTCTTCTTCTTCTTCTTCTTCTTCTTTTCCTTGGACAGGCAGTCTCCCACCCCACCCCTTCCCAGTGCATCAATATGGAGATAGTGCTTCCCTTTTGGTTTAAGCACTAGATGCTGGGAGTAAACATTTATTCATTCCACTGGTCACCCGTCTTGGTTCCTACTCGAACAGTACATGGACACTTCTACATAACTGTTGTTATTGTGTTTGTGATGTGCGTGGTTCATTCTGTCATGAATGCTTTAGCTGAGTTTCTTGCATTCAGAGGACTGGACTAGATGTCCCTTGGGGTCCCTTTCAACTCTATAATTCTATGATTCATTCAAAACCAATAAAATGTTTGTAAAAGAAAAAAGAAAGATGATGGTTAGATCCAGTGCTTTTTTCCTAGGGGGCACGAAGGGGTACGCATACCCCTAAACATTTTGTGAATCTTTGTCGGAATCTCTGCTCGGCCAAGCCGATAAGGCCTCATCTTCCTCCGAGCTGAGCCTTTGAAATCGCCTCCGACGTGTTTAGTGACCTGAGCCTTTGATAAGGCCTCAAGCCCATTCTATCCAGCAGGGTTCCCAGCACAGGGAAGAGACGAGAGGTTTGGCTACATTGTAAAGAGTTTTATTTCTAAACTACGCAGAACAGAAAAGACATCCTCTCTCTATGAAAGCAGAGAGCAACTGAACAAAGGAACAAAGGAAACAGGAAATCACTAACGTCACATCCCGTCTCCCTTTCCCGTGAGACTGCAAGGTCTCTGGAATCTAAACAGAGTCCTGGGACTCCACACAGCTGCAGTGAGAAACAGAAACTAACATCCTCCCCCTTTCTGTGAACACCACTGGGCAGCGTGTCAGTACATTATCAGTACAAACCCAATTTCTGTACATAGGTACAGTGTTGATCCTTCGGAACAACCTTGGACAATAAATCAGCAGGAATTTCATTACCTGGCATGTAGGACACCGTTATGAGTCCTTTCTGAACACATTCTCTAGTATGTTGCAGCTTCAATTGCAAGTGCTTCGTGCTTTGCTTACAACCTTCAGAAGTCAGCAAAGCCAAACATCTTTGCTGTCCTGATAATCTGGATTGGACATTTGATAGGAATTCTCATGTCTTTACACAACTGTAACAACCATTCACAATCCACAAGTGAATAAAACAATGCATCAGTTCAGCTTCACAAGAACTTAAACTACTGTTGTTTGCTTCATGCACGACAATCAAATAGACCCTGGTTGTACATATAGCAAACTCCAGATGTGCTTTTCCCGTCTGTAGTGTCACTTCCAAAACTCGCATCAGCAAATATCTCAAGACCACCAGACTTCTGATTGTTAAATGTCAGCTGTAATGCATAGTGCCTTTCAAATAGTGTGCTATGTGTTTCAGAGCTTTCCAATCCTTAACAGTAGGATTGTTGACTTGTCTGCTTAGCAAGTTACAGCTAACTGCAATGTCTGTCTTGAACATCTGGCAATGAAATTTAGTTTGCCTACCACACTTCTGTACAGTGTAGTGCCAGAAAATGCTCCTTCAGTGTCATCTACCTGATAACCTGTTGTCATTGGTGTGTCTACAGGGTTAGCACCATCAGATTTAGCTTGGTTAACACATCAGCAATTTTAGGTGACTGGTATACTAGGAATTAAAGCTGCATCACATGATGGACACTTCAAGATGCGGGGGCTGCTGAGCAGACTGCCAGAAGTTACACCCCGGGGAAAGCTGAAACAGTATCCCAGACATGCAGGGATGTGTTCCTGAAACGAAAGCTCCACAAAAGGGAGGCTTTTGGAGGAAGAGTGAATGAGGGGGGTGTTTCCTGTTCAGGGGTGAAATCTCCAAAGCAGGAGGAGCAAGGGGAGTTGGCTGCCATGTCATCCCAACCATCACTGCAACCAGCAGGTGGCACTGCTGTGTTTGAAGCAGTGGAAAGTTTTTCCTGTGAGAAGTTTTGGCAGAGTCCAAATGCCCAGGATGTTCCAGTACAAAGGCTAAGGCAAAACTTTGTGGAAGATGGAACTGATTCACCACATTTACATCACAGAAGGGTCCAATCCACCAGTTGGGGTGAGAAGACTCCTTGGAGGTGCAAAGTGTTGTGGAGTCTGGGCACCCTCCCTGTGTTCATTCAGCTTTCTGGACTTCTCCAGAATGTGCACACCACTAGCCGCTTGGTGTGTAAGCTTGCAGAAGATATAGTCCCACACGCTGTTGTTCTAAAACTAGCAGCTTTATTTACAGCAGAACAGTAAAAAATAAACAAACCATCCGAAGACAGCAGTCATCTTGCTTCCTTGCCTGGCAGCAAAAGCGAAAGTCAGACCAGAACAAAGAAACAGCTTCTCCAGAAGTTGGAGACAGCTCCTCCCCAGAACAGGCAGGACGATGGGTTCCCGAGCTGTTAACCCTGTAAACTCTGATTCCCATCACACCCCCTCTCGTCCTGCACTGCTGGGGACTCGTAAGTTTCGCCACTTACCCCAAACAAGACCTTTACAGAACTCCCATGATGCTGAAAGCTCAAAGGTTTCATGACCCCATCTGGCAGGTTCTTCTGGCTTGGCAGTACTGCAATCTCACCAAGCCTAACTGGATACTCTGACACACATTCTGGAAACGCATGTCTAGGTGTTTGGTCCTGGCCTTAAACTGCCCAGACTCTGCCAACTTCAGACAGGGTGATTGTCCTCCACACACCGTGACAGGCAAACAACAATCCCTGCAGATTTCTTGAACCAAACATAGAATTCCAATTCCCTGCCAAAGCTCAGACAGCGCACTGAATTCAGCTTTAGTAAAGGAAAGTGCAATGAGACTTTGCTTCCGGGTGTGATAGCCTGGGATGCAGATTCAGATGCTGAACCTAAAGGAATCCCAACCTGCACAGGATTCCTCGTCTCCAGAGACCAGCTGAGCCCAGGGTTGGGGCATGAGCCTGAAGGGTCCCCACCTGTGCTGGGATGCTCAGGGTGCAGGCACCAGCTGAGTCTGCTCTGGCTCCTGAGGTGATTGAGGACCCATTGCCTGCAGGTGCTTCCACTCTCAGCCCCATCAAAGGAAGCTGGGGTTGCCTCTGGGTCTGGTACCCCTCCAGCCTCTCCTGAGCTGCACAGGCTCAGGGCAGAGAGGGCGGAGGGAATTAATTCCTGCAGGAGGAGTGCTCGCCTCCAGGCCAGGAGAGTCACCTGAGGATCAGAGCCACCCTATGCCTTGGGACATATAAAAGGCAGCCAGCCCCACTCCCAAGTTGCGGGGGCAATGTTGGTAGTTGTCAGTCCTCCCTGAACCCTGCCTGCACACAGCTCAACTTTAAGGGACTGCCTTCATATTGCTTCATCGACCACGGGCTGGACTTGGACCTTGCCTCTTGATTAACCCCCGGAACCAGACACACCGGGACTTCCACCCAACCAAAGAGTCCCCAAACCTTACCACCATCTCAGATACGGACTTCCTGTTAGCCAGATTTGCCTAATTGCTATCTGTCCTGCACATCCAGCTTGGCGTCCACCTTTAGCCTGACAGCTGGAGAAGGAAATACCATTCCAGGCACTCACACTCGGGCTTTGTAGCTTCCCCTGCTGAGCAGATTGGTAGCATAAACGCAATGTCCGGATCTGCTCCCACTGGGACAGCATACAACAGACTTACCCAGAAGCTGACTGAAAAATCTCAGCATTTTTGAACTCAGCGCATTCTACTATGCTGGACTATGTTTCACATAACTTGTCTCCATGGGTGTCCTGACCCTGCATTCAGACATCCTGAACTTCTCAAGCAGTGATGCTGACTTGAATAAAAATTGGTGGGGGGGGCCAGGTAAGGCCCTCCTTACACAATCAATCACATGATGCATTGCACACCATTTGAATGGCAATGCCTATAATGGCAGTGGATCTTTTTAAGAAAGTAAAATTTTGAGGCCCAGCAGCTCCCCCTTGCCCTGGAGAACAGCTTCTAGCATGTCATCTCCCCTACCTGTGTCCATTTGGTATCACCCTTTCCAGTTTTTTCCTGTCCATTGTGTTTGTCTTTCATTTGTTCTCCTATGTGTGTTGCCAGTAGAAGCCACAATTCTGTGGGTACTCTAGGTGGTGCAGAAAACACCTAGAAGCTCCTTAGAGGTTCAAGTGCCGATAAAACTTCAGTTCTGAGATCTATATATTCCAATTAGCCAGCAGAGGGTGTCACAGGGCCAGCCTACCTTCCCTTTAGAGCAAACATGGGTCTCCAGCTGTTTTTGGACTACAACTCCCATCATCCCTAGCTAGCAGGACTAATGGAAAGGGATGATGGAAACTGTAGTCCAGGAGCTGCTGGGAACCAAAGTTTGGGAAACCCTGCTTCAAAGCAACTTTTGCGTTTGGCCTGCAAATATGGGACCTGTCCACTTTTGTATTTTCTTGTATTTTGATTTTATTGTGACCTGTGTACATTATTTATTTATTTATTTATTTATAGAGGGAAAATTCAAAGAGAAATTGTATGGCAAGTTGTGGAAGAATAAAAGGTTGTGTTTGGGAGGGGGAAACCCTGGGGCGTGGCCCCCTCAGATATTTTATTGGGGGACAAAGACCCCATGGGCTTTAAGAGTTGGTGCCTAGTCCCTACACCCACAGGTCTCAGGAATGTTACAACATAAAACACAAGATAAAAACACAAAACCAATGTTAATCAGCCAAAGGTGGAGATTTGTCTGGTTCCTAAAGATGTTTAATGGTTTTTCCGACCTTTGTATAGATTCTTTGATGGAAAGTGAGATTGGAGCTCCTCCAGAAGCTCTTTCCACATTCCACACACTAATATGTTTCTCCCAGTATGAATTCTTTGATGCGAAGTGAGACTGTACCTGTGACTGAAGCTCTTTCCACATTCCACACACTGATAGGGTTTCTCCCCTGTATGAATTCTTTGATGGGAAGTGAGTTCGGTGCTCCTACTGAAGCTCTTTCCACATTCCACACACTGATAGGGTTTCTCCCCTGTATGAATTCTCTGATGGAAAGTGAGACTGTACCTGTGACTGAAGCTCTTTCCACATTCCACACACTGATAGGGTTTCTCCCCTGAATGAATTCTCTGATGCTTAGTGAGATCCGAGCTCGTACTGAAGCTCTTTCCACATTCCACACACTGATAGGGGTTCTCCCCTGTATGAATTCTCTGATGGGAAGTGAGATGGGAGCTCTGACTGAAGCTCTTTTCCACATTCCACACACTGATAGGGTTTCCTCCCCTGTATGAATTCTTTGATGGGAAGTGAGTTCAGAGCTCTGACTGAAGCTCTTTCCACATTCCACACACTGATAGGGTTTCTGCCCTGTATGAATTCTTTGATGGGAAGTGAGATTGTGGCTGTGACTGAAGCTCTTTCCACATTCCACACACTGATAGGGTTTCTCCCCTGAATGAATTCTCTGATGCTTAGTGAGCTCCGAGCTCGTACTGAAGCTCTTTCCACATTCCACACACTGATAGGGTTTCTCCCCTGTATGAATTCTCTGATGGGAAGTGAGATGGGAGCTCTGACTGAAGCTATTTCCACATTCCACACACTGATAGGGTTTCTTCCCCAGTATGAATTCTTTGATGGGAAGTGGAGAGAGGACCTCTTCCTGAAGCTATTTCCACATTCCACACACTGAATAGGGGTTTCTCCCCTGTATGAATTCTTTGATGGGAAGTGAGATCAGAGCTCTGACTGAAGCTCTTTCCACATTCCACACACTGATAGGGTTTCTGCCCTGTATGAATTCTTTGATGGGAAGTGAGAGAGGAGCTTTCAGTGAAGCTCTTTCCACATTCCACACACTGATAGGGTTTCTCCCCAGTATGAATTCTTTGATGGGAAGTGAGAGATGACCTATTCCTGAAGCTCTTTCCACATTCCACACACTGATAGGGTTTCTGCCCTGTATGAATTCTTTGATGGGAAGTGAGATTGTGGCTGTGACGAAAGTTCTTTCCACATTCCACACACTGATAGGGTTTCTCCCCTGTATGAATTCTTTGATGGGAAGTGAGAGAGGACCTCTTCCTGAAGCTCTTTCCACATTCCACACACTGATAGGGTTTCTGCCCTGTATGAATTCTTTGATGCAAAGTGAGATTGTGGCTGTGACGAAAGTTCTTTCCACATTCCACACACTGATAGGGTTTCTCCCCTGTATGAATTCTTTGATGGGAAGTGAGAGAGGAGCTGTGACTGAAGCTCTTTCCACATTCCACACACTGATAGGGTTTCTCCCCTGTATGAATTCTTTGATGGGAAGTGAGATAGGAACTCTTACTGAAGCTCTTTCCACATTCCACACACTGATAGGGTTTCTCCCCAGTATGAATTCTTTGATGGGAAGTGAGACTGGCGCTCTGACTGAAGCTCTTTCCACATTCCACACACTGATAGGGTTTCTCCCCTGTATGAATTCTTTGATGGGAAGTGAGAGAGGAGCTTTCAGTGAAGCTCTTTCCACATTCCACACACTGATAGGGTTTCTCCCCAGTATGAATTCTTTGATGGGAAGTGATAGAGGACCTCTTCCTGAAGCTCTTTCCACATTCCACACACTGATAGGGTTTCTGCCCTGTATGAATTCTTTGATGCAAAGTGAGATTGTGGCTGTGACGAAAGTTCTTTCCACATTCCACACACTGATAGGGTTTCTCCCCTGTATGAATTCTTTGATGGGAAGTGAGAGAGGAGCTGTGACTGAAGCTCTTTCCACATTCCACACACTGATAGGGTTTCTCCCCTGTATGAATTCTTTGATGGGAAGTGAGATAGGAACTCTTACTGAAGCTCTTTCCACATTCCACACACTGATAGGGTTTCTCCCCAGTATGAATTCTTTGATGGGAAGTGAGACTGGCGCTCTGACTGAAGCTCTTTCCACATTCCACACACTGATAGGGTTTCTCCCCTGTATGAAATTCTTTGATGCGAAGTGAGATAGGAACTCTTACTGTAGCTCTTTCCACATTCCACACACTGATAGGGTTTCTCCCCAGTATGAATTCTTTGATGGGAAGTGAGTTTGGAGCTATGAGCGAAGCTCTTTCCACATTCCACACACTGATAGGGTTTCTCCCCAGTATGAATTCTTTGATGCGAAGTGAGAGTGGAGCTTTCAGTGAAGCTCTTTCCACATTCCACACACTGATAGGGTTTCTCCCCAGTATGAATTCTTTGATGGGAAGTGAGAGAGGAGCTCTTCCTGAAGCTCTTTCCACATTCCACACACTGATAGGGTTTCTCCCCAGTATGAATTCTTTGATGGGAAGTGATATCAGAGCTGTGACTGAAGCTCTTTCCCACATTCCACACACTGATAGGGTTTCTCCCCAGTATGAATTCTTTGATGCGAAGTGAGTTTGGAGCTATAAGTGAAGCTCTTTCCACATTCCACACACTGATAGGGTTTCTCCCCAGTATGAATTCTTTGATGGGAAGTGAGTTTGGAGCTCTTACTGAAGCTCTTTCCACATTCCGCAAACTGATAGGGTTTCTCCCCTGTATGAATTCTCTGATGGGAAGTGAGATCGGTGCTCCTACTGAAGCTCTTTCCACATTCCACGCACTGATAGGGTTTCTCCCCTGTATGAATTCTCTGATGCCTAGTGAGAGAGGAGCCCTGACTGAAGCTCTTTCCACATTCCATGCACTGATAGGGTTTCTCCCCTGTATGAATTCTCTGATGCTTAGTGAGATCCGAGCTCGAACTGAAGCTCTTTCCACTTTCCACACACTGATAGAGTTTCTTTCCAAGGATATTTTGTTGATGGGAAGTGGAATGGGAGCGCTGACTGCAGCTTTCTCCACACTCCAAATTTTCACGTGGCTTTTCCTCTCTGGGGATTTTATCGTGGTCACCTTTGTTCTTGATTTCATCATAATCTGCAATGGAGACAAAAAGGGATTAGAGCCTCAAGAACAAATGGAGAAGAAATTAAGGGAGTTCAGTGTGTGTTTCTTACCTTTGTTGTTTTGTCAATAACCAACATATTTATTATCAGATTTTGTTGAGTTGTTGACTGCTGCTTTGTTTGCTATAGAGTAGTGGCCAAAATTGTGGAAGACTTTTGCAGAAAAGTGTATTTCAGAGGTTTGATGGCTCATAACACTGCTTCTTTTGGAGTAATATCATACAATTATGTATCAACGGAAATTGTTCATTTACCCATATTCTATCTAATGTTATAGCCAAATAACCAGAAAAAGGAAGCACAACTTGCTTAGGTTGACTGTGTGTCTTTTTGTGGTTGGTTTTTTTGTGTTCTTGTAAAACATAATAAAATTATAAAAATGGCACAAAGAGTTGACTGGTCATCCAGAAAGCGATGTAAAATTGTACTGTTTAATGAACAATGCTACAGTTATGAAGAAACTGATGAAAGATAAGGAAAAACTTAACCAGACTGGCCATTATATATTTTTGAAGAGGTATCAGGAGACTTAGTCACTATAAAATCAGACCGGTAAAGGCAGCGAAAGGTGCACAAAGGCAAGTAACGATGGACGAGTGGAGAGACTGTCCCTACATGACAGAAGAAAATCATCTGGGTGTATACAAGATGACATGGCGCAATTTAATGTGAAGTTGAGTGCAAGGACTGGTCAAAATGTTATAATTCTAAGGAATAAGCCATTGTCATCTCACAAGCAAAGGTTGAAAAGATTAAACCCACGTTAACTGGACAGCTGAACAATGGTACAGTGTTATTTGGAGCAATGAGACCCAAATCAGATAAGATTTACATCCACTTGCATTACACCGACCACGAAACACTCAGATATTGTGTTGATCTGGGGTTGTATGGCAGCAAAAGGTGTGGGCAAAATTTACATCATTAATGGGGATGTAAATGCCCTAAAATGCATAAATGAAAGACTTGCGCGCAAACTGAAGCGTTCCCAGGTGATCTTTTCCCAGATGCTGAAGCACTTTGTCAGGGAACTGCCCTCGGTTCAGGAGGGAGAGAGGAAAAGCCGAATGGATTACAGAGAGCCTCCAGGGATCGTGGGAAGCAGCTCCCCTTCAACGGAGGAGAATAAAGACGCCTCCAGTGGAGCGGCGCTGCAGGAGTCGGAAGAGGCAAGACAGTGCCAGGACAACTTGCCTGGGCAAAGTGGGGAGGAGAGGGGTCCTCTGTTACCCACACCCTCCTTGCGCAGTAAGCATCCGCGCAGAGAGGGGAGGTGCAAACTGGGAGTCAAGAAGCTGCTTTGCTGGGGAAAGTTTAGGAACCGCCCACTCACTGATTCTGCCAACGACTGAGTCAGCCACAGGAGAGTGGCGCTCCGGATGGATAAGGTTTATTTTGGCAGCAAAAGCAAGGCTTCACAGCTAAGCAGGGAGATATTTGCCTGCTTGCTCTCGAGCAACCCCTTGGAAACATCACACACACACACACACACACACACACACATATATTCTATTTTCTATTTCAACAGGATTCCGCTCCATGTCGTGTTGCTGCTGTGTGCAAAAGGTGCTTTCAAGATAAAGATATTTCACTCCCGGAACGGCCTGGGAATAGCCCAAACTTTAACCCAATCAGAAATCTATGGAGCCGACTAAAGAAACTTGTTAGTCAGAAGCAACCCAGCAATAAAGTCCAATTAACAGAGGCAATAATTTAATCTTGGTTTCACTTTATTACAGCTGCAGTACTAAAAACTTGGTTCATATCATGGGAAGGCATTGTAAGGCCTTAATTAAAGCTAAAGGTTGCCAATGGGTATGACTGCTGTTCTCATTAAATACTCCTTCATAAAAGTTCTTTCATTACATTCTTCATTAGATTATCCTTCATTGATATATAATTTTATAGTATTACTCCACGCAAAAGTGGTGTTATGAGCCATCAAACCTCAGAAATACACTTTTCACAAAAGGTTTCCACAATTTTGGCTACTAGGAGAAGTTCACTTTAAAGTTAATGTTCTATTTATATGGGATCAGACTATTATTTATGTTTCATGTTTTATATATGTGTTGGAATCTGCCCAGAGTGGCTTGGGCAACCCAGCCAAATGGGCAGGGTATAAATAAAAAATATTATTATTTGGATTTGTAACTGGCTTGGATTTGTAACTGGCTGACTGACCGAACCCAAAGAGTGCTCATCAATGGTTCCTCTTCATCCTGGAGAAGAGTGACTAGTGGGGTGCCACAGGGTTCTGTCTTGGGCCCGGTCTTATTCAACATCTTTATCAACGACTTGGATGATGGACTCAAGGGCATCCTGATCAAATTTGCAGATGACATCAAACTGGGAGGGGTGGCTAACACCCCAGAGGACAGGATCACACTTCAAAACGACCTTGACAGATTAGAGAACTGGGCCAAAACAAACAGGATGAATTTTAACAGGGAGAAATGTAAAGTATTGCACTTGGGCAAAAAAATGAGAGGCACAAATACAAGATGGGTGACACCTGGCTTGAGAGCAGTACATGTGAAAAGGATCTAGGAGTCTTGGTTGACCACAAACTTGACATGAGCCAACAGTGTGACGTGGCAGCTAAAAAAGCCAATGCAATTCTGGGCTGCATCAATAGGAGTATAGCATCTAGATCAAGGGAAGTAATAATGCCACTGTATTCTGCTCTGGTCAGACCTCACCTGGAGTACTGTGTCCAGTTCTGGGCACCACAATTCAAGAAGAACACTGACAAACTGGAACGTGTTCAGAGGAGGGCAACCAAAATGGTCAAAGGCCTGGAAACGATGCCTTATGAGGAACGGCTAAGGGAGCTGGGCATGTTTAGCCTGGAGAAGAGGAGGTTAAGGGGTGATATGATAGCCATGTTCAAATATATAAAAGGATGTCGCATAGAGGAGGGAGAAAGGTTGTTTTCTGCTGCTCCAGAGAAGCGGACACGGAGCAATGGATCCAAACTACAAGAAAGAAGATTCCACCTAAACATTAGGAAGAACTTCCTGACAGTAAGAGCTGTTCGACAGTGGAATTTGCTGCCCAGGAGTGTGGTGGCGTCTCCTTCTTTGGAGGTCTTTAAGCAGAGGCTTGACAACCATATGTCAGGAGTGCTCTGATGGTGTTTCCTGCTTGGCAGGGGGTTGGACTCGATGGCCCTTGTGGTCTCTTCCAACTCTATGATTCTATGATACTACTACAGTGTTACATTGATTTGAGAACAGTTCTGTTCTGGAAAAGATTAAGTTTGTAAACCATCTTCATCATCATCATCATCATCATCATCATCACTGCTACTACTACCTGAGATTCAATAAGTCTAGCTCTTCTCTGGGATGAATTTTGTTTGGCCCAGTCATGGCATCCCCTCCATCTCCATTGTCAGTCATTTCTTTCATAGAATCATAGAGTTGGAAGAGACCACAAGGGCCATCGAGTCCAACCCCCTGCCAAGCAGGAAACACCATCAGAGCACTCCTGACATATGGTTGTCAAGCCTCTGCTTAAAGACCTCCAAAGAAGGAGACTCCACCACACTCCTTGGCAGCAAATTCCACTGTCAAACAGCTCTTACTGTCAGGAAGTTCTTGCTAATGTTTTTGATCAACCCAAGACTGACAGGAGCAAATACAAAACCAGAAAACCTGAAGCTACGTATGTGGTGTCCGGTACGTTTCCACAGCTCTCTGGGATGAATTTTGTTTGGCCCAACCATGGCATCCCCTCCATCTCCATTGTCAGTTGTTTCTTTGGTCAACCCAAGACTGACAGGAGCAAAAACAAAAACAGAAAACCTGAAGCTCCACATTTCCTGGACTTGTAGCAGAGCGGCACAGTGAGTGCTGCTTGTGTGTGTGAGCTTGCAGAACTCAGAGTCCAATACACTGCTGTTCCTCTAAATTAGAAAGCTTTATTGTATGTTCAGCAAGATAAACCATCGGAAGATGCAGACGTTGCGTCTTCCATGTCTCAGCAGAAAACGAAAGTCAGAAAGAACGAAGAAACAGCTTTCCTGGATGTTGAGAAAGATCCTCCCCAGATGCAGGACATTCTGAGCTGTTAACCCTGTAAGCTCTAAAGCTCACAACTTATCTTTCCTAACAATTCTGAAGCTGACATTTAAGATGGCCTGGGCAGTTCAGAGCAGCCTGATCGTGGTAGGAAAAGGAATAATTTGAGGAAGATTGTTCAAAGAAAAAACTGTAAGTTACTGTTTATTGTGGGGGTGTTAGGTTCCCAGGTGTTATAGGGGGCACTGTTGAGCTCTGTGAAAATATATGAGGTTGGTTCCATAGAGGTATGTTTTGAATTTCCAGGCTGATATGATGATCCCACAGGGAGCCTTACCAAGAGAGGCCACGATCCCACGAGTCTCCTCCATGACGTCCTGATGCAGAGCTCTCTGGTCAGGATCCAGGAACGCCCACTCCTCGTCCGTGAAACGAATGGTGACATCTTCAAAGCAGACTGGACCCTAAAAGAAAAAGGGAAATGTCCTCCTCTGAGACAGCAGAAATATGATCTGCTACACAATGCTCTGTTGTTTCCTTCCTGTAAATAATAATAAATAATAATAATAATAATAATAATAATAATAATAATAATAATTTATTATTTATACCCCGCCCATCTGGCTGGGTTGCGGTGTTGTTTCAATAGGATTGCTAGCTGCACATTTTATTTATGGATGCTTATTTTATTCTGCCTTTTAATTATGGGTATCCGTCTTTGTGCAAATAGGTGGTACTCCACCTTGTGGTTTTCAAGTCACTCTG